ATAGAATACTACCAATACTTGAAAGCTCCAGACGAAATGGATAATATGCGCTGTTGTTGCAGAAGTCCAGCAGTCTTTGTCCAGGCATGTTATGTTAGAAATTGAAATCATATGGAATATGTTTTCCTATCCACCCCAATCAAATAATTTAGTACTTGAAATGTCATATAAGCGTGAGATCGAGTCAGCAATATTTTCATTCCCAGACTTATATATTGCCTGTAGACGTAATAACCACCTCTCAATTCTAGCTGGAGGCTTAGAAGTTGGTTTAAAAATTGTTTCCAATGGCTTATGGTCAGTTACCAAGTCGAATTCCAGACCAACAATTTAGTAACGAAATTTTTTCACGCTCCATACCAATGCCAAACTTTCCCTTCCGTTCAACTTCAACATCAGAAAGGCTCTTAGTTGCAAACGATATGATAAATTGATTATTCTCGACATCAAACTGTATTAAGTCCGCTCCCAGCGCTACAGGACTGGCATCAGCTATTACACGTGTTTTTAATTTCACGTTAAAATATGCCAACTCCGAAACTCGTGGAACTCCAATTTTTAATTTGTCGAATGCTGCTGTACTTGTTGGTTCCACAGAAATTTCTCATCCGCTTTGAGTAACTTACTCAACGGTTCTGTTGTATCTGCCAAATCTGGCCAGAACCTTCCCACGTTCGTGACCTCTTTGTTCTTTGATGGCCTGAATGCCGTAATTACTTTTACTTTCTCTGGATCAGCAAAAATGCCTATGTCAGATATAATATATGCGCGAGGATCTTAATTCGCTGTGTTTTCCATACGCATTTATCTTTGTTGAGAAATATATTGTTTTCCTTGAAAATAACTTTTACCATCTCCAGATTTTGGTCGCGTTCCTCCAATGAACTCCCGATGACAATTACATAATCTATATAATTTAAGGCATTTCGCAAATCGTTCCTCCAGCAGTTTTTGAAATATCTCAGTTGCTGAGTTAACACCGCAGAGTAGACGCTTGTATCTATACAGTACTTGTGGTATCAAAAATGTAGTAACTTCTCGCCTATTTGGATGCAATTCAAATTGTTGATACGCACTCATTAAATCCAGTCGGGAAAAATACTTAGCGTTCTTAAGCTTCGTTAAAAACGACTCGAATGTTGGTAATGGGTAATTTTCCCGTTGAACTGCTTTATTCACTTGACGCATATCAATGCACACCCTTATATCCCCATCACCTTTGAATGCGATAACTATTGGAGAAATCCATTCACTTAGTCGGTGTCTTCAATGGGGTCTGGGATGCGTCGCATTGGTTGCTTCACGGCCTCACAAGTGGATCAATTGACAGACGAATAGATTACATTATTCACTTTGGAAAAGGTTCCAACTTTTCGACTCTATAGCTATGCCCAGTCTCATCACGTTGAGTTTTATGGCTGTTTCGCGACCAAGCAACGATTGCTTACCCTTTTTTATTACATAAAAGGCGGCAATAGACTTAGCATTCCCTCCAACTGAAATCGGTGCTTCAAACACAAATGAAATATGTAACAACTGATATGCAGCATATGCCCGAAATTGATTTCTCGAATCAGTTCGCAGATTTAATATAGCTGCACCTTGTAGATAGTTCGAATCATCTTGACTTAATAAGTTATACTTGGATCCGGAATCGATAACCATGCCAATTGGTAAGCCACCAACTCGGCAAGAAATGACTTCGCCCATGTCACAATCATTTACAACTCGGAGACAGGGATCGTTGACCACCACTCACTGCTCGGACCGGTGCTTCATCTACATAGCGCCGCTTTGCACCTCCTCTATGATTTCCACCGTATCTCTTCACAGTAGTCCGACATCTCTTAGCAACGTGCCCGACATTAAAACATCTGTTACATTCCGCATTTTTCGCTGGACAAAGCAAACTATTTGGTGTTGTTCCATTTAGCCGTGCGCGATGCAATCTTATTGATCAAAGAGTCTGAGCATCCATTTGCTTGCGCACTTGTTCCTCAATTAGACAAGCAGGTATGACTTCCTCCAAGGACTGTTCAGTTGACAGCAACTTTTTCTTCAGCTCCGCCGGTACCCAAGAATCAATTTTTTTTTCTTATTTCTGTTTTGGAAGTACCAAAATTACACTTCCTCACCTGCTGACGCAATCGCATAAGAAACTCGGTGAAACATTCTCCATCCTCATTCTCGTCGCTCAAATACCGAATTGCGTATCGGCGAAAAATATTCATTTAATTTTTTTGATCCTGGCAAGCTGTTTATAACAGTAGACTGAATTTGTGAACCTCCCAGATGCAAAAGTTTATTGCGATTTTTAAGAGTTGAGCTGATCTCTTCGCTCTCTGCATATTTGTTGAATGCGCGCAATCAGACCTCCCATTCGGAGCGCCAGAGTGATTTGTCTATGCAATTGCATCGGAATGGCTTAAGTTCGGCCATTACTTTGTTTTTGTTTTTCTTCTTATTCAATTCTCACTGTCACTTGGCGACCAGCTATTACAAAGGTCGTAATATCGCGCCTTTTATTTTTAAGTATTTTTCTAGGCTGTATCGAAACGGCCTCCATCAGGCTACATTTCAGTTGTCACTCGTTTGATTTTTTATACCCTTGCAGAGGGTATTATAATTTCAGTCAGAAGTTTGCAACGCAGTGAAGGATATATTTCCGACCCTATAAAGTATATTTATTCTTGAGCAGCATCACTACTAGAGTCGATTTAGCCATGTCCGTCTGTACGTCCGTCTGTCCAACCGTTTCTACGCAAACTAGTCTCTCAGTTTTAAAGCTATCTTCATGAAACATTCCCAGAAGTTGACTTTGTATTGCAAGTAGTATATAAGTCGGAACGCCCGGATCGGACGACTATAGCATGAAGCTCCCAAAGGAACAATCGGGAAAAATAATTTAATTTGATTTGATTTTTTTTAGTTCTTCGATATATAGTAACGGTTAAATATTTAAGCATTACGGCTTAAATTTCATCAAAATCGTACGACTATAACATAAAGCTCCCATGGGAACAATAAAAATAAAAATATAAATTAAAAAAACTTAACTCTTTTATATTGTAATTTTTTTTAGAAATTCTTTTTGACTAGTTAATAATATGACAGTTCAGAATAACGTTTTTAATTTTATTAAAATCAGATAACGATATCATATAGCTGCCATAGGAACTATCGAATAATTGAGCTGCAAATCATCATAGCTTCAATGTTTTTAAACATATACGCAAGTCAATCATAATTTTGATGTTTTTAAAAATGTTTAGTTTTTGTAATTGGTACAAGGATATATGAACTTCGGCTTACCGAAGTTTGCTTCCTTTCTTTTTTATTTTTGCAATGTCCTCATGTTTAATGATTGTAAATTTTGTCCACTTTTTTATTTCTGCAATGTCCTCATGTTTCATGATTGCAAGTGGGTAAAGAAAGAACCCTGCCTTGTGCCAAATGTTTACGTTTTTTTTCCACACAGTGCTAACATTATTAAGAATTTTTCTTTGAATACTGACAATAATAAAGTGTTCTGAGAAAAAATTCAGTCTAAATATTGTTTATTGAACGGAGTATTGGATTGAGATGAGTCAGGTGTCGTTGAGCGCAATTTTGAAGCCAGAACACAAAACCAGACTTTTTGCTCCACCGACCCCAAAAGTTCCAATATTCGATATTACTCTTATAAAAGCAATACCCTTTGAATCATTTTAAAATCGGACTATTTTTTGGTGATTTTGTATATTGGGGCTATATATAGTAGTCTCCTAGCGCACACTGGCCATCAACACGTAAGCGTTCTGGTTTTCATTGTCGTTATTGATTTCTTTTACATAAATATTTAAGTCTCCTCTCTCAGTACTTTGATTTGAATTTCTGTTTAGTGCTCTTTGGGCATTATAATAATAGCTGTTTTGACTATAATTATTGATACCATTGTTGTTACCGTAGTACTGTTGACCTCAACCTTTGTTATTTTCCCGGTAAAAGATTTACTATAATTTTAAGATTTGTTAAATTGTTTTTTGTTTTTTGTTTTTGTTAATTGTTTTTGCCTTCGGTCGCCATGGAAGTGTTAAATAAGTATCCAGACACAATGTCGTGTTCAGAACGGTTCCTTATTTTATGACACATCATAATTTTTTAAATCCCCCCAAAGCTACAAGGGAGCGGTTTGGGTTATATATGTATAAAAACTTGGAATCAGCATTCCCAATTGGATTATTAATTCTATAATCCCACTTTCAGCTACAAGCTGTGAGGGAACGCCAGTATCAGCAACATCAACGTCGATATCGATAACGCGAATTACAGTATTTATGAATACTGGGGTCGATTTCTATGCTTCAGTGCTTCGGTGTGTAATTGAATTTAAAGAAATGAGAACCTCCTTCTGCTTCAGTTAAAATTATTATGAAACTTTATTCTTCAAACCTTACAGTAACTTATGGAATACATTGTGGGAATGAAAGTGTATGATTGTGAATTCGCATAACTAGCAGATTCGAGTGGAATTAGATCATTTAATTTTCAATGCACAGGGTTCCTGCATTTCGACGGTAAATTATGAAAAATTATACAAAGCAAGTATGCCTACCATAAAAAAATTACTATGCACACGTTTAACAAAACGACCTTCAAATATGTCTTCTTAAGGAGAATTTTAAAACATTTAATCATAAATGTAATAAATAAAAAAAGTCGTGCATCTTGGGGTAAAGTTATTTTGTACTGTTCCGTTAAATACTTTCAGAGGAATGATTAACAAATGAATCGAAAAACAGATATAATTAATTTTTTAAAACATACACGCATTAACTTTTATTTAAATTTAAAAATAATTCGCAGTTCCTTAGGTGAAACAAAATGATTACTCTCGGATGAACTCGCAATCGCAAAACATGTTTCTAAGTATTGTACTTTAACTTTGTTTTAAATTTAAGCCTACCCTGCAACAGAATAAATCTGTTTAAATAATCCTTTGTTTTTTTCTTTTTTGACAGAGCAATAAAATCTGAAGAATTACCTCAAGCAAAAAAAATTAAAACGGAACTGTTAAATAATACCGATGAAATTGAAAAAATTAAATATTTACAAAGTCAAAATGACGCCATTTTTAAGTATCGGGACGAACTTAAAAGTACAATGAAGAAGACCGACATTGAAAAACTTTTACAGTTGAATAATCAACAGCCTTTATCTGGTGACTCTGAAAGATTATTAGATCAAGCATCAGATTTGCTGACTTTCGGTGCTATTGAATCATGCTCTGAATGCGGCAGCTCTCAATTTATTTTTGATAAGTCTGGTTACATTTGTAACGGAAATATTTCTGAGTGGAGCAAATGCACCAAGGTGTTAGCGGAGCCGACCAGATCAGCATGCAAAATACCAAAAGATCTTAAAGCAAGATATAGCTTTTTAAATGTAGTAAACAAAATGCCATCAACACGCCTTATTCAATATCTTCCTCCAAGTGAAAGGACCTTATCTAAAAATCTGGAGACGAAAAATTTAAGCGACGAATATGATGGGTTAGTATTAAAAATCAGGAACCGTAAACATTGAATGTTTGTATTTTTACAATACAAACATTTTTATTGTTATGTGATTTATTCTTATGAAAACCAAAATTACTTAAAAATAATGATGTTTTTGTAACAGCGAGAACGGAAGCAAGCTTTGACAAGCCGAAGTGTTTACTACCCTTGCAGTCAAGGGATGAGTTCGATTTGATAAAAACCATTAGTTAGGCAAACAAACAGATTATCATGTTTTACCCGATCTGCTGCTATATGTCGTCCGATGGGCAAGGTTTTTTTTAGCATGATCAGTGAACAACTAAATAAATTCAACTTGTAAAAGAAAATTTCGCCGACAAAATTGGACGTCTGAACATAAATGCATAAGCATGTATATCCGTGGTCGACACGGCCTTTAAAACCGCTGTCGCCAAACAAAAAAAATTGACTAGTTCCCCCGTGCCAATTACTCGTCCAATTTAAGTGCGAAAATTTTATTGTATTTCATATGCAGTGACGCACATTAAAACATTATTTTAAATAACTTCTAAAATAATATATGGATTTTTAAAATTGTGTCACCATGCTTCATTCGGTTCCGCGTGTTTGCAATAGTCTTAAATTTGATAATATCACTATGGACAGTAGTACATAAAGTGACGATGCGCACAAGGAGCGTGTGCATAGGAGACTACTATCAAATATTATACAATACATACATAGATGCGACATCTCATACAAAAAAATGTTCTGTTTTGTTTTAAGCTTGATGATAAGGGGAGACTGGAAGAAGGACGAGAGATTATATTTTTAGAATTTGGTTGTAGGACTAACACAATACATGCGCAAACGTTTTGCATGTGCAACTTTTTAGTCAAATTACAAATTTTTGTTTTTCGGCAGCCGGATCAGCGCTTCAATGCCGCTGAGAGAACACAAAAATTATTAAATGTCCTGTAAACTAAAAGTCTATCTGTAGTCGTGATGGTTAAGTCAATGTGCATTAAGTTCAGCTTTTTTAGATCTTTGATCGGGTGTGGCAAAAGGCGACTTTTCTTTTTAATTTTTTTTTTTAATTTTTAAGTTAGGACTTTCTTAAAGAAAATAACGATATTTTACAAAAGGTTTTTATTTTTTGTTGTTTTTATTTTGGATCTAACAATCGAATAAATTAGCTGAAAATCATAAACATTTTAAAACATATACATCGAAGTTTAGATGCTTTAAAGAATATTTAAAGGGGAATATAAAATTCGGCTTGCCGCCATGCATTTAATTTTTTATGAAATGTACCACCTATGTATTGTATAATCTTTGCTACTATGTATAGTCGCAGAATTAAAAATCTGCTGTGTTGGTTCGATCGTAACAAGTAATAAGCCCAATCGGTAGGTATCGTTAAATCTAAAGGGATTGCATACCAAGACTCAAAAAAAAATTTTTTAAATTAGATTAAATAAAATTATTTTGTTCAGGATAAAGGCCGGTGAACGTGAAATACTAAATTGTTTCTTAATTTTAGCTCTTGTTTTCGGTTCAGTAAAATACTTATACGCGTCGAATGACACCTTACTTGCTGGAATCCGATTCTCCATTCAAAAGTTATTCAAAAAACGAAAATTTTTGAGCCTCTAAAGGTTTTTCAAAATGCTAAGGTCTTGTTATAGAGTCCTGCAATAATTTTCTTGTATTGGACAGTTCGGTACAAAAAAGTTTGTTCTACGACTTTTTGAAAATCTAGCTTATTAAGCCTTAAATCGATCAAAATTGCTAGACCTTGCACGGCTATTACATTTATACAAGAAGAGTATGATATATGTCACAAAAAAATATTTTCAAATGTTTTTTAAGCTACCTTAATGTTATTAGTTTTATTAAAAAAGTTAAATTATATTTTATTTTGTACTTCCTTGCACTTTATGATTATAAAGCACTTAAAATTCCCCAACTTTTGTTATATAACAAGTTTTAATGCATGATTATTAAAAGCATTTAACGTTGTCCTGGTAAGAATTCTTTCCTTAAAGTATGGACCGTATTTTCTGTGAGGAAAATGTTTTCTGGTTAAAGAAAAACATATTCAGTAAACATTTGTAAAATGTTCATTTTTTTTTTTTTAATTAAATTTAAAACTATTCTTAGCTTAAGCAAAATAATAAGAAATCAAATAAATTGCAAAAAAGTGAGCAAGATGTAAGCAAATATCTTTAAAAACAAATAAGTTATGAGCAATAAAATGTTCTATTGGGGGCCAGACAATTTTCTCGTTAATTTTTATATCCTTACAAATAGTATTAAATTATCAGTTAGAAGGTCACGTTTCCGGCCCTATCAGCATCTAGCCTTATCCGTCTGTTTGTCCACTCCTTTTACGCAAACTAGACAGTTTTAAAGCTATAACTCGTTTTACTCATTTAGAAGTGTTATTACTAATAGCTTTAAGACTGATAGGCTAATTTGCATAGAAACGTATGGTTAAAACGAGCCGTATCGCATGACTATATCATGTGAACAATCGGGAAAATAAATGACAAAAATTCTTACTTCACTGACTTTAATATACATACTTCTATACAAATTAATCGTTTATTGTTTCAGAATTACGGTTCTAATTTTATTTAATTCGGACAACGACATCATCTAGCGGCTTGTAAGACATAAAAACCAAGTAATCGGAATATTGTTGTTTTAAGAAATATTTAATTTTTGGAATAGCTGCAAGGGTATATAAACTGTAATATAAGGTATATTTTATAAACACAAGAAAAGAGTGCACTGTAATGTCGGCCGCGCACGCAGACATGCCGACTCAGCATTTAGGATGTGCATTACATAGTTGTGTGGGTCGAATTGCTTTGCACTTGAAGTGCTGGGAATATTCGGACATAAACAAATGCTACAATGTTACAGTGATATAAGCGGTACAATGTATACCCTATATGTGAGCATACTACATCTCCCTCCTTTTGAAAAATAACGTAATCTATGAAGTTATTTTTTTAATTATTGCGTTAAGTATATATATATGTATGTTTATAAAAACTAGCAAATTAGTAAAACTTTTTTTTTTTTTTTTGTTATTATTATTGTTATTTTTTTTTTTGGTTAATATAGTAAATATTGGAAAAGTTGAAACTTTGAAAATTTATGCGACTATTTCTTATTATTTATTATTATAAAAATTTGTATACCCTTGCAGAGGGTATTATAATTTCAGTCAGAAGTTTGCAACGCAGTGAAGGAGACATCTCCGACCCTATAAAGTATATATATTCTTGATCAGCATCACTAGGCGAGTCGGTCTAGCCATGTCCGTCAGTCCGTCCGTTTATATGCAAACTAGTCTCTCAGTTTTAAAGCTATCTGCATGAAACTTTCCCAAAAGTTGTCTTTCTATTGCAGGTAGTATATAAGTCGGAACGAGCCGGATCGGACGACTATAGCATATAGCTCCCATAGGAACAATCGGAAAAATTATGGAAAAAAAATTATAACTTTGTTGTTTTTTAATTTTTTGTTTAGTTCTTCGACATATAGCAATGGTTAAATATTTCAGAATTATGGTTAAAATTTCATCAAAATCGGACGACTATAGCATTTAGCTCCCATAGGAACAATCGGAAAAATAATTGAAAAAAAATTATAACCTTGCTGTTTTTTAATTTTTTGTTTAGTTCTTCGACATATAGCAATGGTTAAATATTTCAGAATTATGGTTAAAATTTCATCAAAATCGGACGACTATAGCATATAGCTCCCATAGGAACAATCGGAAAAATAATTGAAAAAAATTGTAACTTTGCTGTTTTTTAATTTTTTGTTTAGTTCTTCGACATACAGCAATGGTTAAATATTTCAGAATTATGGTTAAAATTTCATCAAAATCGGACGACTATAGCATATAGCTCCCATAGGAACAATCGGAAAAATAATTGAAAAAAATTATAACTTTGCTGTTTTTTAATTTTTTTTTTAGTTCTTTGACATATAGCAATGGTTAAATATTTCAGAATTATGGTTTAAATTTCATCAAAATCGGACGACTATATCATATAGCTCCCATACAAATAATAAAAAAATATATAAAAGAACAATCAAATAATTAAGCTGCAAATCGTCATAGCTTCAATGTTTTTAAACATATACGCCAGTAAATCATAATTTTAATGTTTTCAAAAATATTTAATTCTTGCGATAGCTGCAAGGGTATATGAACTTCGGCTTGCCGAAGTTTGCTTTCTTTCTTGTTTTTTGTGAATTTGTATTCCTATATTTTATTATAGTGAAGTAATAAACAAAAAAATATTTGTTTTTTTTTTAATGTTGATGTAATTTTATTATTTTTTTTTTTTTATATGAATGGCCATCCTACAAAATCTAATCTATACAAATTTTTAGTCTATCCTTATGAACTGTCTGTGTTTTGTTTTTTGCATTTAAAATAGTTATATTATTATTGGATTCTATCTTCTTTACCGTATATGGTCCTGAATATTTAAAGTCTAGCTTATGGCCAGTTTAATTTTTTAATAAAACCTGGTCTCCTATTTTTAATTCAAAGTCTAAGCTATTTTTGTCGTATCTATCTTTTTGTTTTTGTTTATTAGTTTCTAGCATTATTCTGGCTCTTTTATATGCCTGTTCTAATCTAAATTTAGATTCCTTAGCATAATCTTCTATATTATATAATGGTTCTATTCTATCTATGCTATTGAAATGTTTTGATAAGTTTGGAGTTTTCCCAAAAACTAGTTCGTATGGACAATAATTATGTGCCATAGAGGGTGTTGTGTTAAAGCAGTATACGAAGTATTGTAGCCATACATTCCAATCTGTTTTATCAACTGAGATGTATGAGCGTATGAACTCGTTAAGTGTTCTGTGGCTTCGCTCTGGTGATGGTGTGCAGTAGAATTTATGTTTTTGATATTTAAATTTTTACATAAATCTTCAATTGTTTGTTGTGTTTCCGTAATGGTTAATGGGATCTTCGTATGCGTGATTATTTTCGC